TCAAATTCCAGAGGAGTGAACCCTTGCCCCCCCTCCCCCCCCCCCGGAAGAAAAAGTAGCGGTCATCACAACAATTCGCTTCATGTTTTCCCGCTTTCCTCTCTTCCCTCTTTCTACTCTTCTCTCTCTTTCTCTTCCTTTCTTCCTCTCTCTCTCTTTCTCTGTCTCTTCATCTCTCTCTCTCCTCCCCTCCTTTTCCCTCTGCCTTCCCTCTATCTCCCCCTCCATTGCCTCCTTGCCATCCCTCTCCTTATCTTTCCCTCCTTCCTTCCCTCTCCCTATCTCTCCCTCCATCCCTCCCTCTCCCTCCATCCTTCCTCCCTCTCCCTATCTCTCCCTTCCCCTCCCTCTCCCTCCCTCTCTCTCCTCCGCTATCTCCCTCCTTCCTTCCCTCTTCCCCTCCCTCTCCCTCCCTATCCCTCCTCCGCTATCTCCCTCCTTCCTTCCCTCTCTCATTCTCCCTCCCTCTCCCTCCTTCCCATCCCTCCCTCTGTCTCCTCCTTCTCTCTCCCTATTCTTATCTCCCCCATCCTCTCCCCCTTCCTTCCTCCCTCTCTCTCCCTATCTCTCCCTCTCCTTATCTCTCCCTCTTCCTTCCCTCCCTCCTTCCATCCCTCTCCCTCCTCCTTTCTCTCTACATATATCTCCCTCTTCTTACTCTCCCTCCCTCTCTCTCCTTCCTTCCCTCCCTCCTTCCCATCCCTATCCCTCCCTCTCCCTCCTTCCATCCCTCTCCCTCCTTCCCTCCCTCTCCCTCCTTCCTCCCTCTTCCTCTCCTTCCCTCCCTCTCCCTCCTTCCTTCCCTCTCCATTTCTCCATCCCTCTCCCACCTTCCCATCCCTTCTTCTCTCTCCTCCTTTCTCTCTCTCCTCCTTTCTCTCCCTCCCTCTCCCTCCTTCCCATCCCTCTCCCCTCCTTCCCTCCCTCTCCTCCTCTTTCTCTCTCCCTCTCCTCCTTCTTCCCTCCTCCCTCCTTCCCACCCCTCTCCCTCTTCCTTCCTCTTTCTCTCTCTGGCCAACACTTCCCACGGTCCTGTGAAGCCCCCACTCCTTCCATCCCTCCCTCTCTCTCCTCCTTATCTCTCCCTCTCTTATATCCTCTCCTTTCTCTCCCTCTCCTATCTCCTCCTTCCCATCCCTCTCCCTCCTTCCCTCCCTC